TAAGATTCTTGATACTGAACGCAACCTCGTTAAAAATAAGTTTTTAGAAATGTTTTCAATACTTAAACACCCTAACGCTCTTAATAAGAGAACGGACATTAGTAACTTGAGCCAAATTTATCATGCTCTAATATTGCAGAATTAGGCTCAATATGTTATTTACTTTAAAACTGTCCCCTAAGGTGTATACTTTATCATATTTTCTTATTAAATCATTTCAAATATAAATAAAATAAAATAATATTTTCCTACTTTAAGTAACTTAAATTTATGCAACTTAAATTTCATTGATTACTTTGTCAACGTTGCATTTACATATATGTATTAATTGTTTCTAATCAAATAGTTCAATACAGTTTTATAATTATAATTGATTCATAGAATCCTTATTAATCTCAGTTCCAAATGTTATGAACCTTGGACTGTTGGAAGTTTAACAAATCTTCACCTGTGGCTGGCTAACCAGCCACAACGTAGACTATTAATATATGATATGTTGGATTGACCTCGCTTGTTTGATCTTTGTTTCTCTTAACCAATCACTGGGGGGGGGGGGGTAAATGGTGTTCTTAACCACCTTTTCCTTTCATTTTTTGGTTTTTTTACAGACAGGTTGTCACCCAAATTTATCATATTTTTTAAGTAAACCGCTCTATTGTATTAGAGTTGGTATAACGCCTTGCTGTTGTCATATTTTGACCTCAAGGCCACTGTCTTTTCACGTTCTTGGCGTTGTTAACACTTGTTGCATTCATTTCACCGGCAGCAGACTAGAAGCTCAAAGTGGTAACTTTATTATACTTTTAAATTATTAAATTTCAATCTAATCACTTAATAATGCTACCTAAAGTTAAAATTAAATTTTAACTATTGATATACTGTTAAAAGTGCATGTTAGATCTTTTTAGTTCTTCTTCATATTAATAGTTTTTTTTACTTATGTTTTTTACATTATTTTTTATATACATGTACAATTACCACATGTTCTTTTGCTGTGCTAAGTTTGAGCAAATTAATTACTATTAAACTGGGAATAAGCCACAATTAAAGACAAAAATACGGTTTCAATATCCACTTCGGAAATCGTTCTCAAAATACAAACAGTAAATTAAACAAATTTTGTTTTTTGTTACATAGTGAAAAATTCTTCTAATAATTTAATTTTATCTGACTCATTTATATTGACAATTCAGACATACATTATGCATTTTAAAGTAGACGGCTTTAAAATGATATTGCCAATATTGTTGAGTTGCGCTCCTGGGACGACTTTACTTATAAGATAGTTCATTCGATTACATGAAATCAACTTTAACTTGAGAATATCCGTCAGAAAAAAATCATAGCATGTAATTCGTCTTTAAAAAGACAAACACATGACATGATGACAGTAAAATTCTCCTGTTAGTGATTCCATACTAAATTATGAGGGAAAAAAAACCTCATAATACTATCCCGACATTGTAAGTATTTGGTCGTGAATTTAGTTTACCTTCAACAAACATCAAAATTCTGATTTTATATGTTACGTTATTTAAAAAACATAAATGACGTATCCTCTATATGTTACTGACTTACTAATACTGGTATTTTCTTATTAATAACTTCCTCTTTCAATATTGGTAACCAGATCCTACTACATTCTGCCGAGGAATTTGCGACACAATTGGCCTCATTTAGCATAATTAGAGCCGCTTCTTTGATTTTTCTTTTTTTACCATCCGTTTCTTTTAGGACTACATTTGAATTATTCCATTGAACCCTATGTTCATTATCCCATGCGTGTTTACAGATTTGAGATCTATCAAATTCCCTATTTTTAATATAAGATTGATGTTCACTTATTCTAACATTTAATGGCCTTGATGATTCACCTAAATAAAACTGATCGCATTCACAAGGTATTTTATAAATGCAATTCTTTGTCCTTTCTTGTTCATTGTTAGGTTTGGTTTTGGACAAAATAGATCTCGACGTGTTTGTTGTTTTGAATGTTGTTGAAATGTTGAATTTATTTCCTATCCTTTTTAGTTTTTCTGATAGTCCTTTTATGTACGGTATTGTTATTTTCCTCATATTATTCCTTGTGTATGCTGTAGGATCTCGTTCTAAGTTGTTCTGTTCTATTCGATCGATTGTTGAAAATTCCTTATTTATAAACGATAAAGGATAATCATTTTTTAATAAAACAGAAGTTAACAAATGTTTCTCCTCCAAGAACGAATTTTCGTTAGAACAAGTAATTTTGGCTCTATCGTATAAGGATTTAATTATTCCCTTTTTTACATTAATATTGTGATTTGATTTGAAATTTAAATATCTATTGGTGTGTGTTGGTTTTCTATACACCTGAGTCTCATATCCAGTATCGTTCTTAGAGATTAAAACATCCAGGAAAGGTAGCGTGTTATTATACTCCTTTTCCATGGTAAATGTTATTGTCTCTTCTTTATCGTTTATATCATTTAGGAATGTGTCCAACAACTCTGATCCATGAGGCCATATTGAGAATACATCATCTACATACCTCCACCATACTGTGGGTTTGAAATTTTGTTTAGAAATGATATTTGTTTCAAAATCTTTCATAAATATATCGGCTAAGAATGGAGATAAACTAGAGCCCATTGCTAGACCAAAATTTTGTTTATAGAATTCATTATTTAGTTGAAAATATGTATTATCAGTACATAATGTTAATAACTCCATTATAGCCGATATGTTTAGTCTTGTTCTAGTTGCCAATGAATCATGATGATTCATCTATCATACGATAGAGCCAAAATTACTTGTTCTAACGAAAATTCGTTCTTGGAGGAGAAACATTTGTTAACTTCTGTTTTATTAAAAAATGATTATCCTTTATCGTTTATAAATAAGGAATTTTCAACAATCGATCGAATAGAACAGAACAACTTAGAACGAGATCCTACAGCATACACAAGGAATAATATGAGGAAAATAACAATACCGTACATAAAAGGACTATCAGAAAAACTAAAAAGGATAGGAAATAAATTCAACATTTCAACAACATTCAAAACAACAAACACGTCGAGATCTATTTTGTCCAAAACCAAACCTAACAATGAACAAGAAAAGACAAAGAATTGCATTTATAAAATACCTTGTGAATGCGATCAGTTTTATTTAGGTGAATCATCAAGGCCATTAAATGTTAGAATAAGTGAACATCAATCTTATATTAAAAATAGGGAATTTGATAGATCTCAAATCTGTAAACACGCATGGGATAATGAACATAGGGTTCAATGGAATAATTCAAATGTAGTCCTAAAAGAAACAGATGGTAAAAAAAGAAAAATCAAAGAAGCGGCTCTAATTATGCTAAATGAGGCCAATTGTGTCGCAAATTCCTCGGCAGAATGTAGTAGGATCTGGTTACCAATATTGAAAGAGGAAGTTATTAATAAGAAAATACCAGTATTAGTAAGTCAGTAAAATATAGAGGATACGTATTATGTTTTTTAAATAACGTAACATATAAAATCAGAATTTTGATGTTTGTTGAAGGTAAACTAAATTCACGACCAAATACTTACAATGTCGGGATAGTATTATGATGTTTTTTTCCTGGTTTTTCCCTCATAATTTACTATGGAATCACTAACAGGAGAATTTTACTGTCATCATGTCATGTGTTTGTCTTTTTAAAGACGAATTACATGCTATGATTTTTTTCTGACGGATATTCTCAAGTTAAAGTTGATTTCATGTAATCGAATGAACTATCTTATAAGTAAAGTCGTCCCAGGAGCGCAACTCAACAATATTGGCAATATCATTTTAAAGTCGTCTACTTTAAAATGCATAATGTATGTCTGAATTGTCAATATAAATGAGTCAGATAAAATTAAATTATTAGAAGAATTTTTCACTATGTAACAAAAAACAAAATTTGTTTAATTTACTGTTTGTATTTTGAGAACGATTTCCGAAGTGGAAATTGAAACGTCAATAAACGTATTTTTATCTTTAATTGTGGCTTATTCCCAGTTTAATAGTAATTAATTTACAATGCCACAAGAAAATAGCTTTTGAGCAAATTGTTAACTGTATTTAGTTCAATTTATTGTTTACACAACATAATCTTCATGTCCATTGACGCAAGCTTCTTTACAATTTTAATATCATTGACTGCTACATATCTTTTTGAGGTAACACACTTATAATAACTTTTCTATGGATGTTTTTTTTCATATTATTCTTTTTAGATGAACTGGTGATGCTTTCTGATTAGAAAGCGAAACGTCTTCAATAAATAGATTAAGTAGCCACCTTCTTTGTCTTTTTTTCTCTATACCTTTTGACCGAAAAACCCACCACTCTTCAAGTGATCCTTAATTTATATTGGATTTTATATTATTATATTTATATATTTTATTATATATGTCCAAAAATTATGTTATATATTACAGTGCGATTATTCGTCTGAGTTCTGAAACACATTAATTTGTTTTCTCATGTTTTACAAATTTAAAAAAAACCTAGTGTAAGATCTCTATTTTCAAAAACATCAAAAATCTTCTCTATAAATGGCAAAGAGCAGTCTCAATTGATTTCCTTTCAAATCACCATACTTAAAACAACTGAGTAAATTTCGAAGGCAATAATTTTCCAGGAGTTGACGATTACCCTTTAAGGATTTTTTAAGGGTGGTTAGTTTCTTATATTGTTGGACTTAAATTTGTAATATTATTTTTAAGTATTATTCTTGATCCCGTAAAATATATCATTGTGGCCACATTGTTACTGATCTATTTTCCATATGATCCTCAACATCTATGATCACGTAAGTTTTATTGCTCCAGAAGATACTTTTTAAAATAGCCCTTTTAAAGAAACAAATAACATGGAACAGTGAAATTAAATATGTGAAATACATTTAATAAGTAAAATGAAATGCAGTAATTTCAATTTTTGAGTTAAAACAAGACTACATCATGCATTTAATAGTAAAATTGAGCAAAAATACTTACGTTGACCATCGCATTGGAAGCAATTCTGAACAAAGTAGCTCTTTCACAAACTTCTTTATTCTTTCCTTGTAACAATTCATGGTCAGAATTCGTTTCCATTTCACCCAAAGATTTTGCTAAATGCTTCCAATGCTTAACTAATACATCACCACACGTTTGTAAATCATTTAATTGCGATTCTAATTTTCTAACTACACCAGACCAGTCTTCAAAATCACCAGAGTCATCAATTTCCTCGTCTTCCTCGGATTCCATACTTCTACTACAATCAAAAACAAACATTGCATCAAAATGGTTTTTATTTTTAGTTTCATGAAACTCGAAATTCAAATCCTAATATATCAATGCAAATAAAAGTATATTTTTAAGTTTAAACAAGGACACATTACATTCATAAAAAAAGCTGCATAGATATTCTTGAGTGACGGTGCTTGTGATGGTCTTGATATATTGTGAAGGTGTCCACAATCTCTAAAATATTGCAAATTATATACGTTACTGTATGTCAATTTGACATATAAAATATTTTAAGAGCTGTAATGACAACCTAAAGTTACACGTGCCAACTTAACATTGGTCAATTCCTTACTATGATTCTAGCGATTTATTTAGCTCTATAGTTTTATTTTCAAAAATATACTGCATCCTATAAAGACCAGAAAGTATGAATAAAAAACAACTAAACCTGACGTTATGAAAACAAGGTCTTTATTGAAACTATTATATGTAGTCCGTGTGAAGTTGTTTGTCTCCCATCGGATGCATCTCCAGGTCGTAAATCAGGAAACACCTTAACCGCTCCTAGTACAGGTGGGTAAGTAGGAAATAAAATACCACCGGCGAACCAAAACAGACTAAAGTATGACAACCCTAACAGAAGAGTCCCTGTGCCTCCAGGTTAAGAGTTTGAGCTAAAGGCCAACAACCTCTTCCTGTAAAAAGTCATATGTTATGAAACCTCAGGAACTATTAGCTGGACGGAACTTACGACGACGACTATGCAAACGAAAAATATAATTGCGATTAGAAACCTGGAATATCCGAACCCTGTACCAAGCTGGAGTAGTCACATCTTTACTAGCATATAAAGATAGCCACTCACAATTATAGAGAATTATACAGATTGGCATGAATTGGTTAATTAAAAAATTATTTGTGTAATTAAATAGTTTTTATTAACATTAAAAATTAATTAATTTATCACCAACCAGATGGTGCGATCAAATTCAGAATTCAGCGGGTCACTCATCCTGGGAAACCCTCAGAGCAGTTAGAATGCGATATTTAGTTAATTAGTTATTAAATTATTCAATTTAATTATGAATATCTTGAAGATATGAAAATTTTTAACGAGAAATAGCTATAAATAACTCCGAAAAAAGGTAATGTTTCAAAAATCACCATCCTATTAGTCAACGTCGACCGGCTATACCTCAGGAACCACAGCCGGTAATTCAACTTTTTTTCTTTTAAAAGAAGCGCCTTGCCGAGTCTTCTTTAACGCTGTTTTCTGAATTTACTTTAAACTAATAGTTACCGATATATTCTATTTGTTTAGAAGCCAAAAAATTGTTTATAATTTGAAAACATTCCTGAGGCATTCCAAATAGTCCGATTTCAATTCTATAAACTATATTGATAGGTGGCGTGCTTTTTTATATGTAAAAAAATGTGGAAAACTTCATTTATAAGGTCTAGTTTTTATTGGATTAGATTTTAAAGACTTTCAATTAAAAAAAAAAAAATAGATTGCAAAATTATTAGGCAAAATTTATTAAATTGATTTTAATCAAATTTGATGGACTTTTTCATTGGAAGCATAGCTTTCTTATCGCGAGCTACGGAAGGAATGCATTGATCGGTGAAATAGATCGCGCAGAGGTCAAAAAGTAAAAACAAAAGAAACACGATAAAGCAATGAAACGTGAGATCGTGCCACCTCACACTACGTGGAGTAGTAAACGCAGTCTTATGCGTATTTCTTAATAAAATAAAATAAATTAAAATAGAATAAAATAAAATGAATCAACTCGAACGGAATAGAATCGAATCAAACGGAACATAATAGAATCGAGTGGAAACTAAGCGAATCAAATCCAATCGAATTGACTGGAATCAAATCGAATTGAATCGAACAGAATCGAATAAAATCGAACCAAACCGAATCAATTTAATTCAAGTTTCTTTTTATCACAAACTACTGAAAAATAAGTTATATCTATGTATTGTGTTAAAAACTGCTTCTAAAACAGCTGCAGCGGTAGACGAAATTGATGGAAAAGCTTTGAAACATGTTGCCACTTATATAGCTTTACCACTATCTTATCTTATAAATGAATCATTTACATGCGAAATATTTCCAGATATAAAGGGATCGAAAGGAATCAATATTTTTATAAATAAAGGATCTGCAACGGATATTGCAAACTATAGGCTGATTTGTGTGTCAAGTCAACGGGTTTAAAAAAAGAAATCTACAAATACTGCAATTTCTGACTATCTTCAATTTATTTATAAAGTATTAAATGATAAATCTGTTGGGTATTTTTTATGACCTTAGTTGTGCATTTGATACGGATGATTGTGAACTCTTATTACAAAAATTGCAGGGTATTGGAGTACGTGGAATACCATAAAATTGGGTCCTATCTTATCTAAGTAATAGAACTCAAGTAGTCACAGTGGAAAATGTTACGTCGAGGCCACTTCAATGTACGATGGGTGTACCTCAAGGCTCAAAACTGTAGCGTTTTATATTTAATATCTGTATAATAATATAAATTCTGTTTTAAATTTTGTAGTACGCCCTTGAGTTGTTTATCTGCGTTTGTCTCTTATAAAGGAATTTTAAAACGATCAATATATTATGGCATTTTAAGTTAAGATTCTTAATAGCAAGTTTTGTTTTCAGTTTTCTAATGCATAATAAAGCTGGGGATATTTTAAGGTTGTTTAAAATAGGCAAAATATAGATGTTGATGTCTTGTTTACATTCGAGTCCCCCAATATTCCAGTTGAAAAAAAGATGTTATATAGTATGTTTTTTGTGCAATCTGTATTTTTGATAACTGTTTGTTTGAGACAAAGATAAACGTTTGATTTACTTCTCTGATCCATTTTTTTTATTTTAATTTAGAAAAGTCTCCTAACGCTTGTTTGTATTCTTGATTTTAGGAAAGAAGAATTTTTCTTTCTTCAGCAGGAAGTTTTCTCGAAGCGGCGTACAAATAAAAAAATAGCTAGAGGTAATTCTTGTCTGCCATATCTTGTTCGTTTTTGATCCAGGAGATTTATGTAAGTATCCCTTTGTTTTCATATTTGTAGTTACCCCAATCTGACCCATTTGATTCAACTTATCCACGACCCAGCTCTCCAACAACCCCCTTAGTGCCGTACGCACCAGCATCGATTATTTTGTTTGCTCCATCTCAACACCTTAGATTGTGTCCCCAATTTTCGATCCCCATGTTCTTACCCTGAGGTAAGCAAAATATATCGTTACAATACTAGGGCCTTTATTTTTCATTATATTTGTAAGTGACCTAAACACGTTTTGTTCAATGCCAGATAAAATTGTGCAGTATGCTGATGATACCAATATTCTCATGCCTCAAAGTGAACCCATACAACTGATGGAAAATACCAATGTTGCGTCTGCTGAATTTAGCACATATTGCAAAAACAATGGACTCAAGCTCAACGTAACAAAAACACATTTTATGCGTTTCTTACCAAAAAACTTAACCAACAATTCTGACTTTTATTTACATGTGGATGGCGAATCAGTAGATAGTTATACTACAACGAAATTTTTGGTTGTAACCCTAGATCATAAACTTACATGGGAAACTCACGTAAATCATGTACCAGCAAAGTTAGGTACATGTAGCTATATAATGAGTAATTTAAGAGAAACTGTCTCATTGGATATATTGCGAATGATTTACTTTAGTTTAGCCCAGTGTGTACTTCAGTATGGCTTAATATTTTGGGGTTGCTCATTTCATTTTGAACGGGCATTTATAGCTCAAAAGAAAGTTTTAATATGTATGGCGTTCCATTTTCAGATAGTTGCAAGCCACTATTTAAGAAGTCTAATATTTTAACACTACCTAGCCTTTTAATTAAGGAAAACAAATTCAAGTTTGACAGAAATGAGGACATTCACTCACATGATACTAGAGGTAAATCAAAATTTCGATAACCTTTCTCTAGATTTGGTGTATCTACTGGAATAAAATGTTACAATAAAATAGTCAATATATTAACTCTCAGCAATTCTTCACATAAAGGTTTTCGCCAAACTGTATTCATTTTTAATTGACAACACAATCTACAGTGTTGATGGATTTTTAAATTTTTTAACAATTTTGCAACAATAGTTCTAAATTCGTATTTGTAACTTTTATTTCTTATTTATTTTATTGTAATCACTGTTTTATTTTAATCATGTGCACTTTTACTATAGATTGTACTCTTTTGTACTAAAATCTTAAATAGTCCGATAAGATTTATACATATTTTTTTGTAAGAATTGTGTAAATTTTGTGATGAATAAAATCTATTCTACTGAAATCGAGTCGAATGAAACCGAATTGAATGGAACCGAATGGAATCGAATTAAATCGAATCGGATAGAATCGAACGCAATGAAATTGAATCAAATCAAGTCGAATTGAATCGAAGCGGATCAAATCGAATGGAATAGAAACCAATTGAATACAATCGGATCGAACAGAATCGAATGAAAACGAATGGAATCGAATAGAATGAAATCGAGTTGAGTGGATCGAATAGAATGGAATCGAGTCTAGTGAAATCGAATGGAATCTAATCGAATCGAACGAAATAGAAACGAGTGGAATCGAATGCAATCGAATGGAATCTAATCAAATAGAATGGAAACGAAGCGAATCCAATCCAATGGAATCGATTTAATCGAATCGAGTGGAATCGATAGAAATCAAATAAAATGGAATCGAAAGAAATCGAATCGAATGAAATCACTCAAATCGAATGAATTAGAATCAAATTGAATCGAATGGAATCAGATCGAACAGAATTGACTGAAATCGAATCGAATGAAATCATACTGAACCGAATCAAATCCAATGGAATTGAATGGAGTAAAATTGAATCGAATAGAACCGAATTGAATGGAACCGAATCGAATGCAATCGAGTCGAATTAAATCGAATCGAATTGAATCTAATCGGATCGAATAGAATTGAATGAAAACTAATCAAATCTAATGAAATCGAC